TATACCATATCATTTTTTACAATTTTTCATCCTTTGGATCACCACTCTACAGTGAATTAGATAATTTAATTTCTACTGGAATAAACAAGGGCTTGAGCAAGAAATCCACGAAATATGAACAAGAGACTAAAGGCCCATATTAAGAGTCCACAGAAGATTTAAAGAGGAATGGGCTCAATGCTGTAATTTTATTTTTTTATGGATGCTTAATGCTCTATTAGTATTACTGTGATACTGACTCTGTTCCTTGAATTTTAAATTTTCGAATTTGATCTGATGGTCCAAACCTTAAGATTTTATCAACTAAACAAAGTAGGCAAGTGTCTTATTATGTAAGAGGTAGTAATTAAGAAAAGTTAATTTTCTAACTATAGTAGGTAGATATGAAAATATGCTTTTAAAATAATTCAAAAAAAAAAACTTAATTTTAAAATACGTGTAAGTTGATCTAAATACACTTTAACTATGCTAAGGAAAAGATGGAACTAATAAGGTAGATTTAGCTAAGTGAGTGCAAGGTTCCAAGTCATTTGTAACCATAGGAGTGGAATTATTTAATTTATTGGATCAACAGCATGAAGGCACATCACTACATCAGGAGATGTGCTCAAAATGACTAACTATAGCCATTTTTCAAGCTTTTATTTTTCCACACATATCGCTATTCGTATAGCCTTCTGGGTATCTGCTTTCAAGGGCAGAATATAACCTTATAATTAGTTCCATTTGGACAGGTGAACACACTGGTTTGATCATCTTTAGGATAGCTGTAAACATCTGGACACCTTGTCTTAAAAAATCTAGAGTAGTTTGTAGGTCCACATTTACCGGAATTGCAACAGTGTTCCTCTGTCTTGAACACTGGACATGGTCCATTTCAGCCTCCTGGTACCCTCAATGGGCCCGGACACTGTCCCACGATGTCTGCAGTACACTTGATCACGCGATTGCACTGGGGAGAGTTGGAGCTGAATTCCATGGGAACATTAAACCCGTCGATGTTGGACATGTCAATGAAGTCTAGGTTGTTAAACTGGCCAAGGGCGTACTCAGCCAGTGTGTTGGGTGGAGATCCATAGGCTTTGCATTCTAGGAGTCCTTGGCAATCTCCTGTCTGGCATTTGCCTCTTCCAGAGCCATCAAACTGGCAATTGGTTCGAGCCCAAATGCGAGCTTGTGTTGTGCCAGTGGCCACATTGATCTGCCAGGTTTCACCACGGTTGAGACGCCTGCCACCGCCAGGGACTGCGGCAGCCCAGACAGTGTAAGGGCAGTTGTTTCGGATGTTGAAAGTGGCGGCATGGGTCATGGTAAGTATGCAGAGAAGAGAAAAGAGGAAGGAAAAAACTGAGATGTAGCTCATTTTGGTAGGCTTTTGCTTGGTTAATTTTGTGGTGTGGTTTATGAGGAAACACA